CCTTGTCCCCCCGCCTGGTCTTTTCCTGTACATTCTCTGCCTCCAAATCTCATTACCTCCCTCTCCTCACCCTGCCTCACGTAACAGGGAGGAAGCAGCAAGCCCACCCACCATCACTCACTCGGTAGCCCATCTCCACAGATCCATCTCGTAACGGGACAAAGACAGCATCAGCGAGCATGCTTCTAGTGTCCGTCTCAGCGAGTGCCTGACTCAGGCTGCGGCCGTCGGAGAGTCTGTTCCCCGAGCCTCGGTGGCCTTTCATTAAACTTGTAAGCCTTAGTTACCTGGATTCTGACACAGGCTGAGCCTCCACAGGGCATCTGGCGGGGAGATCCGGAGGAAGGGGCGGCTCTGACCATCCTCAGGCAGCTCCCTGCCATCCCGAGCCACGGCCATTTGCTAGGCGCTGTGTGCCCATTTTAAAACTGCCACACACAGTGGTCTTTAATAAATCGCGTTGTTCACAGTCAATTTCACATCCTGATGAAGCCAACCTATGCGGCATTTTTCATCCTTTCCCACCTCCCGGTACCAGCCCTGCAGGCAGGGACTTGCTGAAGCGCTCAGCGCCGTAAAGTAAAATCATTTCATGTGACACTGAGGAAGTGGGAAGTATAAGCCGAAGCCACTTCTTATTCTGACAGCACAAGTAGAAGGCACTGCTGAGAAAACACGTATTTTTCTCTCTCCAGGGCCAAATGGGTGGGGGGATCAGCTTCCCAGAAAATGATCCCTGCTGTTCATGCCACAGCCGCGGCTCTAGCCAAGGGGCCAGAGGCTGCACAGTCAGAACATGCCGTCCCCACCGTCGCTATTCCTCCACCTGGGTTTTTAGTACGGCCTGGTTGGGACTGGTGTTCAGTGTTCAATCGTGACCATGCTATAAAATGCAGTGGATGCTGCCTAGCGTGTGGGCTCACGATAGCTGCTTCCCACAAAGCAAGGCACGTGCAGAGTGTGGGTCAGGCTCCCTATCACACAGCCCTGACAACTACCCATCCATACTGGGATTTATGAAGCACCTACTATGTGCCTAGCATTGAGACAGGCAGCCTGGATCCTTGCCACACAGGCCATGTCTTCATCTGAGACTGATAGTCATGGGCCTTCACAGGCTAAGAGCGTGCTTTGGGGCCCCCAAACCCTTCACCTACACCTTTAGTTCTGTTCCATAGCTCTGCTGGCCAGACGTGCAGATGATGAAAGGCCCAGGGAAGACACAGGTGACAGAGCGAGATCCTCAAACAACCAGGCAGGCTGGGATGAAAGGCCGGCACCGACAGACTGAAGTCTCACTGTGATAACAACAGCTGAGCTTAAGTTTTTGTTTTGTTTTCTAATCCAACTATACAAATATGGGATGGCGGAGGCCTGGGAACCACATCACCGGAGGACTGGTTGACAGACTGGGCAATGTTTATTTGGAAGCATGAAGACTCTGAGAAGAGAAAATAGCTGCCTGCAGATACGTGAGTCTACCCTCTGGGAGACATCTGCACAGCCCGGAGGTAGGGCAGGGGGACAGGAGGAGACACCCTGGGAGGCAGAGGAACCTTCTGGCAGCTGGGGCCCCCCAACACTGCAAAGGCCCAGGAGACCCTGAGCCTCCCACTACAGGGGGGGCAGAGCAGGTTGGGCAGCGGCTGGGACACATCGGGAGACTCCTCCTTCAGACTTGGGGGTGAAGCAGGGCTGAGAGTATGGGAGTCCGCTTCTTCCTTCCCAGGTGACCAGGCCCAGGGCTCGCATGGAAAAATGGTCAATGAATAACGAACGATGTGACTGAAGAAACACACACAGCTTTGTTGACTTTTGCGTAATCCTTCACAAGACTCCTACATCCCCACTTAAGGTAATGAAAAGTCAGCAGTTGTTGCAAAATCCCTGAACAAGAAACCATGCGTAGGGACACTTGGCCTCCGTCCCCCTAGCCAGCAGGACACCAAACCAATTGACAGAAGTGCCCATAGTCTAGGTGTCATCTACACTTGGGGTGTGCCTGGGAGAAGAGGGGCTTGGCACTGGTCGTGAACACCTGGATGCTACCAAGGGACAGCAGGGCAGGAATGCCACTCCGGTTACACCCTGCTTCTCCCCACCCCGAATGAATACACCAGAGAGAGCTGCCATGCCTGAACCAGGTGAGTATCTGATAGGGTGATGCCGGCAGGTGCATCTGACATGTTCTTTTCCTAAAGCAGCTGTTAGATTAAGGACTCCAAAGTACTGGCCTTCAAGTGCCCAGCGAAGACAGACTGAAGCAGCCAAGCTCCCGGGGGCAGCCGCAGCGGCTCTTCCTGGAGCTCGCAGAGGCGACAGTGGGTATGGACACCAGCCGCCCCTTCAGAAGAGGAAGGAGATGTTCTTGCCTGTCACAGACAGCTTTGCTCTCACCTCACCGCTCCCGTTACTGTGTCTGCAAAAGTCTCTTGCTCATTTTCATGCTGAGGAACAGGATGGGTTTGCGAGCTGAGGTCCTGTGGAATCTAGGGCTTGTCTGCAGCATTTTCCTGCAGCTCTTCCCGCTGCTCCCACTCCCTGGGCAGAGGTGGGCTGGTTGTGCCTTGGGTTGTTGTCTGTGGGGCAGTTTCTAGAAGTCCTGAGCCCTACATTTGGTCTTATTCATGCTGACTTTAACCACTTCAGCTGCAGTGACCTCTTGAAAAGGAGCTTCACAGACAGAAATACAAAACGGCTCTGAGATTAGTTCAGAAAAATGTGGCTCCAGCTTTTAGAAATGGTACTTGGAAAAGGTATCTCAGTTCCTAGGTGCTGAGTCAAGAGGGCTTTGGGGAACAGGTAGGGAGAAGGTCAGGCTCAGAGGATGACCTGGAGAAGCATGTCTGCATGGCCCCTCCAGCCAGCTGGCTTGAGCAGGGAAGCGCCTGACCGGGTCTCAGGGAGCCTGGGGCCCTTATCTGCTAAAGAAGCATCAGTGTGTCCCTGGATGGGGCAATGGCTCAGACGGCACTGCTCAGGGGAGGGAAAAGGACACGGAGGATCCCCCAGGGCCCTCACACCACACCCACACCCACGGCAGACCTAGGGCCCTGCTGAGGTGCACAGAGGGGCCCAGGGCTGCCCACCCCCCCACAGTGGCTCTTCCCCTGAAGGATCATAGAGGAGCATGTGGCAGGCAGGGGCTAGTGAGCAGGACACATGGTCAGCCTGACCATAAGAGAAAAGTCACACACGAGAGCACAGACTCGAGTGAGGCTGACCAATTCCAGGCACCATGTTTTACTAGAGGTGCTGTCGCTACAGAAGCTACTTCGAGGCAGGTCTGGAAGGGCGCTGCAGCGTGCATGTGCTGCCAGGACAGAGTTCAGCCTGGAAAAAGGCCACAAGTTCACAGGGAAAAGGAATCAGACTCATTCTGTGTCACTCCAGAAGACAGAACCGGGGCCAGCAGACAGTTAGAGGAGGTGGACTTGCACACTATGGAAAGGGGTGCTGCCTTTTAGACCCTCCCCATGAGAGAGGGCACCCTGCCTCCCCATCCCTGTCAGCATTCAGGCAGAGTTCCAAGAGGTGTCTGTTGTCTGCCTCAGTTGAGAGGTAGGACTAGACGACCCCCACCTGACCCCTTCCAACTCAGTCCTACAAAATGTCACTCTCCCCCCATCGCCTCACAGAAGGTACAGACAAATCTTGAGGTTAAAAGAAAAGACTACTGAGTCGGGGGCAGGGCAAGGAGGGGCATCCTGTCTGCCTGGGAACAGAAGGCCACGTTCTTGAAGGCTATGGAAATATCACTGGATTTGGCAGGTTTTCAGTGAAGTGCTTATAAGGATATTTACCTGACATAAAAAAATGACTCAGACACTTTTTGGATCTCAAGTTACAGAGAAAGACATTTTTGTGCCTTAGAGATCCCAGTCTGAAGGAACATCGTGTTTTCTGGGGCTCCTGACTCTGGCCCACGGCCCTGGGGGGTGGGCCTGCGGGGGACAGTGAGCCGAGACTGGGATTCGTGGCCTGCTGCCCCGGGTCCCTTCCGGCAATGCTGTTCAACTGTGCAGGCCTCGTGTCCTGAGCTGTCCAGCCTCTGAAGGGGACAGACTTCAGCGGGCTCATGGGAATGCTCACAGTGAAGCTCTCTTCCTCTCCTGTAGGCTGCTCAGAATCAAACACCGCAAACCAATTTTCTGCAGGGACAGAGAAGACAGGACAGGGTGCCGGTGAAGGGAGCTGAGGAGGAACAAATGGGAGGCAGCCTGGCCTCTCAATGCTGGTCACTATTAAGACATGAGCACCCTTCCCTGCCTCCTCTGGGCCTCCTGTTCAGCCAACAGAAGTGACAGGGAGGCTGCGATCCTTTGGGAAACTCTCCCCCCATTTGCTCCCTTCCTGGCCATCTTTGCCTGGGGTTAATTCTTGGTCTCCAGGGAAGGGATCTCCGATGCGGCAGTTTCTGGCTTGGTTTTGTTTGTGACCTCAGAGCACAATATTTACACTCTGGACTCCTTGTAGAGTTCCCAGATGCTCCCTCAGAGTGGGTCAGCTCAGGGCGTGGAACCAGGCCTCCATGTGCTTTCTCGGATTCTTCTAAAGCGACAGGGCATCTGTCACTATGAGCGTCTGCTCGATGGCTTGGAGCTGGATGTCCCCCATCACGCCGGTCTTCTCCATCCATTTCTTCCTCAGTTGTGCTCCAGCAAGAGAGCTTGATGTAGTCATGTGAGAAGGAATTATGACAGTCCCCTCCACCCATCCCTGCTGGTGCCATCTCTGAAGACACCCCTGAGTGGAGTGGCAACCTAGGCCACTGGCACCTTTCACACCACAGAGCCTCCCACCCCCTTAGCTAGGGGGCTGCCTTGTGTCCCATTCGGGACAACTGAGGTCTGTTCTTGCTATGAAGGCTGGGAAGGATCTGATCTGAAGGAAGACTAATCATTCTTGTGTTTCTCATCATTTAACAACAATTGAGCTCCTACTGCATACAGGACATGGGGCTGAGAGCTGAGAATACTGTAGAGATTAAAAGGCTGGCTCACAGTTGGGGAGATAGGAAGTAGATATAAAAAGATACATCACAACCTCAGGGTAGTTCCTGATGTGAATGAAGGAATGAGAATTGATGCAACATTTATTAAGCTTTTTCTGTGTACTGGACATAATGTCAAGGGATGGGGAAAATGGGACAGGAAGGACTGGCCCCCTGACCTCAAACTGTATAAAGGCCAAGATTATACAGTTGGGCTGGTTCCAAGGAATTGAAATACTGGAAGCTCTTTTCATATACACCAATTGGGTTATTTAACACAAAATTCAGTGGTGCTGGATGTCTAAGTCTGAATAAATTATAGAATCATTATGCTGGGAATGGTCTATTTTTAAAAGGCTCAATTCTGGTGTCACTTTAACTGAACCACAAATTCCCTGAACATTTATGCATGCAGGCATGTTAATTCAAACATTCATAATACAACCAGTTTTTGCATTTTGCATAATGCATATTCAGACCTCCATGCAATTTTACAATTAATCCTGCATTTTGTATCAACACACGTGCAATACACTCAGCCACTTATTTCTCTATAGAAAAAATATAACATTACTTGCGGAAAAAAGAAAACTGCTGGAGAAGGCATATGGTGTTGTGCATAAACAATCAGCTTCTGGGGCTTTAACACTAAGTGTATATGGATTTAAGGTCTTGGGGTAATAACCAAATAGCACTGAATAAGCAGATTGGATATTGAGGGCAAGATTGAAGACCTCTACTGATGAGTAATGAGCCCAGAGCAGCACAAAGGCAGAAGAAAAACCACATGCCGCGAAGATGGGGGGAACCTGTTCCCCACCTCCAGCTCTACCAAGTACACTGCCAGGGAAGGAAGGGCCGGAATAATAAATGCATGGCTTCAAGTCTCCTTCAGCCAAACATACGTTGACTATATGCTCATAGTCATCACAGAAGCACTCAGTGTACTTGAGTATTTTTATCTGTGGTTGCCTGCAGACCTCCCATGCAAAATGGTTCAGATGTTAAGACTGATGATGCCACACATGTGCCAAGAGAGTATGAAGAGGTTTATTCATCACATAATGAGTATTTCTAGGGAGAGCGGGCACCTAGGCCATTCCAAAATGGCTTGAGCAAAGGAACGGGCAAGGGGCTTTGTTTCTTACTGTGGCTGGGGTAGAGGCCGGGTGAGCAGTGCTGGGCTTGCACAGTTTGGACTTCCCACAAGCACCCAGGGGAGGAACAAGTCCACTTCTAGTTGCTTTGCCCAGAGAGGGAACATAAGGGGATGAAGGAGGGTGGGGGCCTGAATGTTGCCAGCAGTCAACCATCAAAAATGGAGCCGGACTCTTTACTACGGTTTTCTTACCCTCAAGCCGCCATTAAGGGATTTAAAACTCAACTCTGAAATTTGCCTAGTGCATGATCCAACCTATTTAAAGTCTCTCCTCATCTATGAAAGTTGTGTAACATTTTTAAAAAATGATGTCACACCTATCAAAGGAAACTGGCCCAGTGCCTGTACAAACCAGGTGCTCAGTAATTGTTTCTGAATCTCGCTCTGGAAATTTATGGAAAAAAAAATCTATTTCTTCCACAGAGCTCCACCTTTATCCCTCAGTTTATGTTCTTATGAAAACCAGAGATAGGCCACCCATTCTAGTAAGATTCTTAAAACTATTTATCAGAGATATTGGGATAAGGGTGAGAAAAGAAGAGTAGAAGAGGTCATAGGCTGGTGGTCGAGGAGGAGCAGGGAGGGAGGTGGTTAAGACACAGCGGAGGGCAACTCCCCCAACATATGTCACACAACATATATGTTAGAGACATCTCTGCTGGTCACAGTGGACAGGTGAGTGCCCTGGCTAAAGAAAGGATGGTCCTAGTGGGAGAGGTAAGGGACAGGAAATGCCAAGTGTTATGGGTTGAATTACATCCTTGCAAAAATACCTTTTGACGTCTAACCCCCACTTCCTGGAATGTGACCTTATTTGGAATTACAGTCTTTGAGGATGTAAGTTAAGAGGAGGTCATAGTCAGTGAGAGTGGGTCGTAAACCCCAAATGCATGACGTCCTTATTAAAAAAAGGAAAGAGAGACACAGGCAGTCGGGGAGCATGACGTGTGCAACCAGAGGCAGAGATGGTAGTAATGCAGCTGCAAGAAGCCGGAAGAGGCAAGGAAGGCTTCTCCACAGGATCTCAGGAGGGCGGCCATGCTGACACCTTGACTTCAGACTTCCAGCCTTCGGAATAATGAGAGAAGCAATTCTGTCTAAGCCACCCTGTTGGAGGTGCTCTGTGACAGCAACCCAAGGGGACTCATACATAGAGGAGGGATCATCCATTATTTTCATTTTTTTCTTCTTTGAAGATCTGAATATGTAATTTTGCTCAAAATTGGTATAACTGGGAAAGCTAAAGTTTTGTCTAAGAATGATGACTAAATCACAGATCTTCACATATTGTCAGTTAGCCTTTAATTCCTCAAAATCATTTTAAATATACAATGAATAGAATATCATATAAAATATAGAGAGTTTGGACCCCCCCCTGTTTTGTGAGAAATCTTCTGCATCCGTGGATGTTTTGTTGCCCTTGTCTAGCTTGGATTAATACTTAGCTTATAGGCACACACCTGATCATCTACATTTGCCTTCTTACAGCACTAAACTATGTTTTCTACCTTTATCTTGCATCTACCTACCACTTCAGCATTTTATTTAAAATAAATAAATAAATAATAATAATAATAATAAGGGAGAAATGTGGGATTCACATATAAATCAAGTATAAAAAATCACATGAATATTCATATTTGACCTGACTGTTTATAGTTCATAATGCGTGATCAAAACCAAAAGTTTCTGTGATGACTGCCCTTGTGCTGTTCACCATGTAAGAACTTATTCACTATGTAAGAATTTGTTCACCATGTAAGAACTTGTTCGTTGTGCTTCAGAAGATCCGAGACTGATGAGAATTAGACTTGGGGTGGACTAATGATTGTGCATTGAGTCCCCTGTACAGAATTTTATTGTTGTTAACTGTTAACCATTTGATCAATAAATATGAGAGATGCCCTCTCAAAAAAAAAAATAGAGAGAGTTTGGGTTCAGAATAATTTTACACTATACTATAACAGATTTGCCAACTGAAGATAAAGATACATTTCTGCAAGATTTACAAGCAGAGACAAAATGTTGACAGTGATTATCTCTGGGTTATGGGATTACAGGTAATTTTCATTTTATTTCTTATAACCTTCAAGTTGTCCTCATTGTAATAAAAATATTTTCAAAAGAAACACATTTTTACTTTCCAAGACACATGATTATTTTCATAAAAGCAGGAAATAGGATTCAATGCCTTGTCTTAGGAGTTTTTGTCCTGACTTTTGATCCTGAGGCTCAGAGCCTCCTGATTGGGCCTAAAAGGATTAGAATAGGGCATGCAGTGGCAGGAACATCCATTCGTTTCTTTAGAAAATGGAAAAAAAAATACGAACTTATCCTGCCAGCTCAAGAGGCTCAGGCTGGGGAGTTTGTTGGTAATTTTGTTCTGATTTAGTGTAACAATATGGATAGTCCTCTTATTCTCAGGAGTTTCATAAACTGGCCTTAAAATTCAGCTGCTTCTAAGTCTCTTTGTAACAAAAACCAAACATATTCAAAAGCAAAGAGACTTCTAGTTTTGCTAGGATCATACACACCCAATCAGCCTCTGTCTCCGGCTGTTTACAACTAAAATCTCCGTAAAAATACATAAAGCAGCTACTTGAGGACTCAAAAAAAGTAAACAAAAGCAGCAGATTTTTGGAGGACTCGAAATCTGGTGAAGTACAGGGGTAATATTTCCATGAGATGTTATTCTTTTTTATCTCTCGTCTGTGCCCAAAGAGCTGGGCGGACTGTGGAGCTATGAGGTGGAGCAGCAATATGGGGGGGCTAAAACTCTGAGAGAAATCTTGTCTTTCTGGCCAGAGCAACCAAAGAAGGGGCCTCTGTGGGCTGGAGAATGTAAGGGGAACCCTGGAGAAGAGTGAAAATAAACTGAGCAGGGAAGCATGGAACTTGCAGTTGGCACATAACCGAGGGAATGGATCTACGTCTTCCTGGTGGCTGTGACTACACAGGGCACACTCTTGTCAAAACTCATTGCCTACTAGGCAGTACAT